CCTCTTTCTATTGCTTTTCCTTTTATCTATTATGAAACCCTTATGACGGCAACACGTCGCTAAGCAGATTCCTTGCAATGCAATCTAGTGAGGACCAGGGTTTTCACAATCTCCAGTGAGCCCACTTTCAGGATCACTGTATCGCATCCCTACGTCAATGGAGTTAAAGCTGCCAAGAGACCTGGGTGAGGATAATAAGCTAGAGGAGATGGGCCATCGAATGGGCATCTAGGAATGAATGGCTTCGTATCATGAGCACCATGTCCCATTACTGATGTGGCTTTCCTATGTGCCAGGCACTGTGCTGAGGGCTGTCTGAGCCCTGGGTTATACATGCCCACGGCAGCATAGGCATACCCACGCATACCTATGGGGCAACGGGCATTGCTATCCTGGCATCACAGATGAGGAAACTGAGGCTTAAAATAACTTGCCTGTAGTCATTGCTCTAACAAGGGATGCTTCTAGAGGATAAAAAGACATAAAACACATACTTCTTGAAGTTGGCCAACAGGTGAAATGGAAACCCTCCAAAACCAAGCATGAATTATATCCTCAACAGGTGACCACATTATGGACATTGGGACAATCCAAGACGCATTTATTCCAATGCTCTGATCAACATTTACATTATTCAGACCAATTACCATGATTACCTTTACAGTGAGATGCTTATCAAGAGAATTTTGGTCAAAAAGAAGCTCTCGAGAAGAGAAAAAAAATTATCATCATCAGGCACTTTGGTCCCCCTGCCGTCTTTTCTTAAGCCTAACCAACTATAATGAAGGCCAAGTACAACACCTACTTCTTTTCTTCCCAGAGGCCCTCCTTAGTGAGCAGAGCTATATGTTTTTCCTTATTTCTCTATACACCCGATTCAAATACTTCAGTATAAAACATGAAGACTCCACTTTCACTACTGCTTTCTGGCCATTCCAGTCAAGTCTTTTACCTACAATGTGCAGGTTGGATAAGATCAGGTTTCTGCCGGCCTCAAATCTTCAGCAAGATATTCCTGGGAAAATGTAAATGGACCTGGAACTCCCCCATTTGTTATATTTAATTGTTGACTATCTTCCATTTTCACGATTGGAAACAAATACTGAAATGTGGTCAGCAAAATTCCTTTTGTTTATAAATATACCTAACTGGAAAATGGAGAAATTGATGTTGGGGTCATATAACTTAGACAAGTCAAGGCGATATGATGGTTTGGTATGTACATGTAATATAAGTGACTCATCACATTTTGATCTTTGCTTTCACCTTTATTCCTATTAAAGGCTGCTTTCCTGTTCTGGCAGATATATGATTCTCCTACATTCAGAAAGAGAATTCTATGTGAAATCACTCAACTGTGTAGGGGATAAGAGACAGCTAATTTCTATCTCATTTCGTCTTTGATTCTGAATTAGTCGGCTGAAAATTGCAGTAGGACCAATCTAGATGAGAGAAGGAGATCATAGTGACTTCAAGTTGAAAGACACAGCTGTGAGTTTCTTAGAAAACTCCAAGTACTGCACCCATTTCCTTTAAAGATCTCATTTAAAAGGGGGCCCATCCACCCATCAGTTATGAATTTGAATACTTTGACTATCTCCAAATTGTAACCTTCATCAAGAGGGAAGAGTCTTACAAATTATGATGTGCTCAATAGAGAAACATCAGCTATTGATCATTTTAAAGTCCATCGTAAAAAGAAAATAATTCTCACCATATTATACCATTTGATTCCTGCCATGTTTTAAACAGAAAATAGACCATAGTTTTAACATAAATAATGTCTAGTATTTGGACTTTTGGTTGATTGTGTGTGTGTGTGTGTGTGTGTGTGTGTTCTCCCATCATTAATAACAAGGAATGAGTAACAGGTTCATAAGCTATCTATCTATATATCTCCAACATTTTAAATCTGACAGTTTCTTTCTATTTGTTTCTACATGTTAAGAAGAGACGAATTGCTTTTTCTATTTCACAGTAACTATTCAGATACCAAAAAGTAGTGGTCGATGGAGCAAAGCACACGACTTTCTAGTACAGGAAAAGGAAGATATCCCAAAGACCTGTGGGTTCATAGCTTATTCCATGGAGATGCTGAATATTTGGGTCCTAAATCCATAATCACAGTGAACATATGTCCTGGTTTCCAAAAGGTAGTCCTGGTTTATGGTTTTTATAGGCATCAATATAAATGCAAATAGCAACCCCTTTCACTTAAAACAATGTCCCAGTTGAAATAATAACTTCTATGGCCATTCTTTGCAAAATAAATAAACACATAATTTAAAAGACACAATCATGGCACAAAGAGTGTGCTTTCTGTCCTGAGTAACTTTGCAGTACCTGACATCTTTTTCCCCCAATTATTTCATACACACACACACACACACACACACACACACACACACCTGTAGCTTCCATTTTCTAGTTCCAAAATAAAACAGATAATCCATATGCCTTTAACTATTCTATTACAGGGTTTATTGAAATGTATGAGGGAGCTAAAATATGGGTTTGTAAGTGTAAAATCTTTTACTTCTACTTATTCCAAAAATTAGAGAAAACATATGACATTCATTCACGGTAGGGCTGAAATGTCCTCTTTCAAAGGTTTAGGGAATAACGAATACAGTACAAAACTATGCTTTCACTGACACCCAATAACAACCTCTCATTCATTCAAATATCTATTTAGCACCTTCCATGGGCCCTACCTATAATGTGCATATCTTGAAACTACAGGAAGCACAGAAAATTCCAGAAACTCAGAACCTTAGAGATGAAAAAAAAAACAACAAAAAAACACCAAAACAAAGAGTCAACCATGGGACTGAAGGGTCCCAGGTTGGATTTTGGTCAAGGCTACATACCTCAGTTGCAGGCTCAATTCCCAGCTTGGTCAGGATGAGTACAGGAAGCAATGAATCCATGTGTCTCTCACACATATTGATGTTTCCCTCTCTCTGTCTCTCTCCCTCCCTCCCACCCTCTCTAAAAATCAATGGAACAGACTGCTGAAGCTCAGAGGGAAGGCGGGGGTGGGTGGGAAGAGATCAACCAATGAACTTGTATGCATATATGCATGACTCATGGACACAAACAATAGGGTGGTGTAGGCCTGGTATGGGGTGTGGGGTGGGTTAGAAGGGGTCAGTGGGGGAAAAGGGGGGACATATGTAATACTTTCAACAATAAAGATTAAAAAATAAAAATAAATCAATGAAAAAAACATCCTCCATTGGATGTTTAACAAACATTGAAGGATTAACCAACAAACAAACAAAACAAAGCAAAGTAAGCATGGGTACTTGGGCATGCACTTCCAGCTCAGTTTGAAATTTCTGAGGGGATTTCATGTTAGCCATATTTATGTGACTTCCAAGAAAAAGAAATCTTGGCACTATTAACTAAAAAACGAAGGCAATGTACTTGGATTAGAGTTCTTAATTAGGGAAGTCTAACAAATGAGTACTCTGGGACTGAGGAGAAGGCAGGATTTTGTCTCTGTAGAGTTAAGAATAGTGGAAGCCAAATAAATGAGTAACATCTCTATAATGACTTTCTCATTTCCTTTTCTGCGATGCCTCTACATTTATCAAAGCATACCCAATGAACTATGTAGCGTTACGTTAAAAAGTTAAGGCCATAACATATTTAACAAGAGCCTAAAATGTTATTTTCTTTCATAAAGGAAGTGGTATCAACATTCACTATTTCCTTGAAACAGGACATAGCAAATAATCCAAATGATTGCCATGAACCAAATTTTCCTCTTCTGGTTGAGCACAGCTTTTATATAGACCATTCATAAATCTAAACAATTGTCTGTCGTTAAGCCAGAAGACAGCCTGAGACAATACATTTATTTTGTTAATCATTCCGTAACAGCTGAAATTTAGACTTAAACACATCCGGGCCAAAATAAGCAGTTAAAAACCCTTGTTAAATAGACAGCGGCTAGGGAAACAAAAATGTACATGTAAATGTAAAATAGATTTTTTTCCCAGTTCCCACCAGGCACCATCCACAGTTATGACAATATTATTGATTATATTCCCTATGCTGTACTTTACATCACCACGCATATTTGGTAACTGCCAGTCTGTACTTCTCAATCCCTTCACCTCTTCCACCCCATTCTCCAAACCTCCTCCCCATCAGAGAGACTTTTATAATGATCTATGACCTTCATATCTAATAGGCAATTGTTAAGGGAAATACTTAATCCAAACTTGGTTCTCAGCAACTAATGACATACGGAGCGTTCCCCCAAAATGTATACACATTTTAACAGCTGATAGCTCAATTCTGAAAATGAAATGCATTTTAATAAACACTGTCTTTATAATTATTCAAAGTGTGTGTATACATTTTTGGGGGACACCCTATCCATTAAATGTCCTCTGTCAGTGAGAGACTTATAAATAAATCGGGTCTTATTAGCTCCAAAATAACAATGATAAGGAGTGTCGTTCAAGCAGGATTTTCTGCTCTAATTGCTATTGTCAGTGTTGGTATACAGGTTTAAACAAATGCCTGGAATGTGCACCCACAAACCAGGCACAATTAGAACAGGCTTTCCCTAAAGCCTTGGTAGGAAACAATGATATGTTTCTTTCTGATATGAGTATATATAGTTGCTAATTAAATCTTAACAACTGAAAAGCATAAGCCAGATCCTCCCCTAACAGTCATGTCAGTATCTCAAAATTCCTGCAACTTTCAAAAGGGTTAAACCTTACAGTCCATTTTCAAAAAGAAAGTGATTGAGGTATACCCTGGGATGAAATTAACATGCACATTAACAATTTGCTTATCTACTGTTTCAATATTGGAAAGAGGAAGTGATGTAATTACCATGCCATTAGGCTAATAAGCTGGATTTCAACTGCTCATGAATGAACAAAAATTATTGTATTGACACGTTCAGTCCTATTATGAACTCACATCTTATTTTCCAAGGTATATGGCGCCCCCTTTCTCAATGCTAATATATTTACCTTCATTTTTCTTGATGGTAAAATTCGGATTGTTGACCATTTCTGGAAGAAGACTGTATAAGAAATAATGGCCGTTTTTGGGATCATCTTTGTCCATGGCACTCACCGTTTGAATGACCTGTAACATAAAAGTTGACGTCAGCATTTCTGATGACATCGATGGTTTGAACCGCCTTTCAATTTTCTAAATGGTCCTGGATGGCTTGTGCCAAGAATAAGGAGAAACACTCATCACTTTAAAACCTCAGCTTTGATGAGCTGGTGAAAATTGAGGTCATTACCTTGGTGTCCATTGGGTGTCTGGGGCTTGAAATAGCATATTTAAGGGTATTTTGCAAATTTCCACTGGGCAATGATATGTTTCTTTCCAGTTTGAGTATATACAGGTATCTCGAACGAGATTTGGAATTGTCACAGTGATTGTAGTGTGGCCTTTGAGACGACGGCCTAGGACAGTGATGGCGAACCTATGACACGCGTGTCAGAGGTGACACGCGAACTCATTTTTTTGGTTGATTTTTCTTTGTTAAATGGCATTTAAATATATAAAATAAATATCAAAAGTATAAGTCTTTGTTTTACTATGGTTACAAATATCAAAAAATTTCTATATGTGACACAGCACCAGAGTTAAGTTAAGGTTTTTCAAAATGTTGACACGCCGAGCTCAAAAGGTTCGCCATCACTGGCCTAGGAGGTAAAGGACTTGAATCTTGAGTCCTCACAACCCTTCTTTAATATTCCTCATCAGGTTGCATGTGTTTGCCAACTACAATGTTCCTTGACACAAATGTCATTGTAACAAAGCTTTCTGAAGACTTGCATCTGTTCCCACCCAACAATGAATACTGTTTTTAAAGCGAGTAGATAAGACATGCAAACAATGCTTTGGGGTGTATCCTGAGATGAATAAATTACAGGGATTAGAAGAATTACCACCGCACAGAGAAACGTTTGCTCAGATACGCGTACTCGGGTCCCGGATGAATGTGCTTATTGCATTTGCAAAGCTGCATTAACTTAGGGCGAAGTTATTTCTTGGGATGTCAGAGAATTAGCTTAATAATTCTCATTTATGGTTCTGTGATATTAATCACTTCAATCAGAAACCCTGGGCAAACGCTACCGTAGGAAACACATTATAGCTTATACCTCATGATGAATAACTACAACACCGTTTCTATAAGAGATGCTTGTGAAGCATGACTGTCAAGGTGATATCAGATTCGCCATAAACAATTTAACAGGGACATGCTCTCACGTGTATGAAGTTTAGAGACGGCAATGATGAAGCCTAATATGTTATGTCTGTTAGAACAATTATACCCCATTCAACTCTGCCAATTTCACTAAAGAGGGAAAAAATGGATGGCTTCTTTTTAAGAAAGCGACATCATTGCCTTGGAACTTGTCACCTAGAGGATGCGAGAAGCACACTTTCAGAACACTTTTAGCAGCTGTGGCGATTTGCATTGTATCTGGTACATGCTATGTGAGAAGCAATGCAGTAAGGTTATTTGAGGCCTGAATGAAATAACCTCTCTAGTCTACTTCTCCATTATTAAAATGGGACATATCTGGCTTGGTAGATGTTTTACTTCTGCTAAGGACCTTATGAAATGTCTTCCAATTGTACTTAGCTTGAGTCACAATATCACCAAAAGTAGCACAAGATATAACTCATGGTTAAGAAAGAAATGTAGTCGTTAAGGTGATGGACTCTGAAATAAAGCCGTCTTGATAGAAGTCATAATTTCACTCTTCACTCGTTGCCTGACACTCAACTCTGAAACTCAGTTTTGCTGCATCCCTAAATTAAAAATCTGCCAGGGTTGCTTTGATTACTGATGTAAATTCATGTCAGATGCTCAAGGAAAATTAGTCACCATCATTATTATTGTTTTTGACTTTAGGGTCACTATTGTTTTTTTAATGGCATGGCACCTTGATAAGTGTTATTTAAGGAGGTCCCTGACCTCATCGGATTAGATGGAAATGCCCTATGTCTGCTATATATAATCGCCTAGCACATTTGCCTTGACATTTTAAGTATGGAGACATGCCCTGGGATTCCCCTTTTAGCAAAATGAAAGAATAAAAGGTACCAGGGGAGAAGCTGTGAAACACAGATTAACTCTTTTGTGGACAGCCTACATATGCAAATATTTATCAGGGGAATGTGATAATAGCCTCCTAATAGGCAACAGAGCAGGAAGGAGTTACTGGTGAGCAGGTGTGGCATCCCTGTAGCCAATTTTGCTTCAAAAGGACTTCTATTCCTGGATGCACCTTCTGAAGAAGTAACTCCTAAAGCATGTAAGCACATGTGAAGAATAAAGGCAAATAGTCCTGGCTGGTGTGGCTCAGTTGGTTGGGTGTCGTCCCAGGCACTAAAAGGTTGCTGGTTTGAGTCCCAGTCAGGACACATGCCTGGGTTGAGGGCTCAATCCCTGGTAGGGGGCATGTAGGGGAGTATGCAGAAGGCAGCTGATCGTTGTTCCCCTCTCATCAATGTTTCTCTCTCTTTCCCCCTCTCTTCTTCTCTCTCTAAAAATCAATAAAAATATTTTTTTAAAAAAGAATAAAGGCAAATAGAAAATTTCTTGAAAATCTGTGGTGGAAATCATTCATAACTAAATGCATTCTAACAGGATAGTTAGTGGGTAGAGCTGCTATAGACAGTAACTCTCTTAATGTTTCTAAGTAATCTACATGACAAAGACTCATACATGCTGGCTAGTGCAGCTACACAAGTTATTTAATTAAGCCACCACTACCCAAACAATAAAAAAACATAATCATTTAGCTTACCTCAAATAAAGGAGCATAATTGCCTGTTATACCACATCTCAGAAGTTTGGTGCAAACATTACGCCTGCAATGAACATGTTTTCCCCACCATTTATTTAAGCCAATAACTCTGTTAGATGTGCACCTTTTTTGAGCCTACTCAATCACAAAGTCTCAGGGCGGGGTCTAGGAGTCTACATCTTAGTCTTCTAGGATGGTGATTCTGCTGCATGCATTGGTCTGAGAACTGTTTTGAGCCCAGGGAGGCGGTTGGTGTCGAGAGCTCCCACATTATTATTCATTAGGAGCCTTTGCATTGTCAACCTCACCTCACGCTCAGTGCATAATGTGCTGCAGAAAAAGGGATGAAACGGTAAATCTGTAAATCAACTTCCAAATATCCTGTGAACTGGAAATGGCTAAGACTTTGGTTGGAACCATTTTTGACACCTGATTTTATTTTCATGCAGATGGCCACTGTCTGGTCATTTTATCTCAGAGTAGACGCCTGGTAGATCACTTGAAGGACTTTCTGTCATTAAAATGCATTAGGTGCCCATCTTAAAAAGGCTGGCATTTTCATTGATGTAAGAACATCTGAATACACTTAGCTTTAATCAATAGAAGAAAAAGAACACGTTTATGCAAGGAAGTGCCTCTCCACACAAGACTTTTTACAGACACACAGAAGAGATGGCAAAGGAAGGCCGCACACATGTCCCACGGAGAGCTACTATGACATCAATTAATTTTTAAATAATTGGACAGGTATTTCATGAAAATGACAAAAACAATTCTGGAGAGTACAAAGTTATTTTTTTTTTTTAGAGTACATGTAAAGCATGCAGTTAAAATATTTTCCCTTCTACCAATAAAGTTACAATATAATTGAAAAATCTAATGTTTAGTAATTTATTGTGGAATAATTTAAAAGGAAGCTGAGAGCTAATATGCCTCTCTATCAGAAAACCTAAGTATATGTGGATGTTGGGATGAGGAAGTAAATTCTAGGGCCCTGCTTGGGTTTCTATGGCAGCAGACAGCTGTTGGTTTCTCTGAGACTACTGATTTGAAATAACCTGAGGCATGACACAGAAAACAATGAGCATCATGGGGCCATATCATAATTCAGACTGTTTTCAAAAAAAACTACTCATTGTTTATCAATAACACTATGCCTAAGTTAGATACTTATTAGCAGAATTTATTAAACTTTATTTTAGACTATTTTATATTTACTCAAAAAATATTTAATAGTGGCCAGAGTGGTTCAGTGGTTGACCGTTGATAATTCCTGATCAGGGCACATGCCAGGGCTTTGGGCTCCATCCCCAGTGTGGGGCATGCAGGAGGCAGCCAATCAATGATTCCCTCTCATCATTGATGTTTCTATCTATCTCTCCTCCCTTCCTCTCTGAAATCAATAAAAATATATTAAAAAATATTTAATAGCTGTAGGCCATTACTATCAGTAACTTTTTTTAAAAAAAATATGTTTATTGGTTTTTTACAGAGAGGAAGGGAGAGGGATAGAGAGTTAGAAACATTGATGAGAGAGAAACATCGATCAGCTGCTTCCTGCACACCTCCTACTGGGGATGTGCCCACAACCAAGGTACATGTCCTTGACCAGAATTGAACCTGGGACCCTTCAGTCCTCAGGCCGATGCTCTATCCACTGAGCCAAACCGGTCAGGGCTGTCAGTAACTTTTTAAAAGGCAAGTAGTCAGGAAACAAATACATTTCTAATTATCTGATCTGTTAACAACCAAAAAACCTACCATGGGATCTATTAGAATATCTCCTATCAGTTCCTGTCTATATTATTCATTGATTTATTTTGTTCTGAGGGGATGAGTTCCTATTTTGTTTGTTTGTTTCTCCCTCTCTGCCATTGCAAAAGTCTGGCTATTTTTTTTAAAAATATATTTTATTGATTTTTTACAGAGAAGAAGAGAGAGGGATAGAGAGTTAGAAACATCGATCAGCTGCCTCCTGCACGCCCCCCAGTAGGGATGTGCCCGCAACCAAGGTACATGCCCTTGACCGGAATCGAACCTGGGACCCTTTAGTCCGCAGGCCGACACTCTATCCACTGAGCCAAACTGGTTCGGCAAAAGTCTGGCTATTTTTTATCTTTCTTTTTTTTTTTTAGGGAAAGTAGATGAGAGAGGGAAAGACAGAGAGAAACACTGATGTGAGAAACACATGGATTGGTTGTCTCCTGCATGTGCATGCGCCCAGACCAGGGCCCTGGCAGGGAAAAGCCTATAACTAAGGTACCTGCCTGGAACTGAGCCCTGAACCCTTTGCTCCATAGGCTGATA